CAATATGCACACATTATTTTTCCAGTTCTGACGCAGAGAGCTGAAGATGATGCCAGCTATCGGGGGAATGAGCAAGGAAGAATTTTGTGATGCTTGAGCAGGAAGGAGGGGGTTCGGCTGACATCTGGGGCCTCATATGTATTCATGAGGAGGACAGGGATTGACTCCCAGTCCTTGGATGAGCATGCTGGGACACTCTCCAGGCTCTCTGGTTACTAGGCAGAGTTCCCAGGAGCTGTGGTTCTATCCCTTTCCCTGAAGGCTTCATCCTTCAGTGGCTACAGAGTCCTCTGGGTCTGCAGCAGGAGACTGCTTAGAATCACGTGTATCTCAATGTTTCATTTGTTTTTTCTTTCTAGAAAACTGGTTTTTCTCCTAGCCCTACCTAAGAAAGTGCATACCCCTGCCCAACATGTACTCTCAGCATCTAGCAGGTGGAGGCAGGAGAATCAGGAGTTTAAGGTAATTCTCAGTTTGAGGCCAGCCTAGTCTACAAGAGCTAGTTCCAGGACAGCCTCCAAAACAATACAGAGAAACCCTGTCTCAAAAAACAAAACAAAACAACAACAACAAAAAGAAACCCCAACCAATAGCCAGCAGTGGTGGTATGCACATCTTTAATCCCAGAATTCCGGAGGCAGAGGCAGGTAGATCTCTGTGAGTTTGAGGCCAGCCTGGTCTACACATTGAGTTTCAGGAGAGCCAGGGCTACAGTGAGACCTTACCAAAAAAAAAAAAAAAGAAAAAGAAAAACAAAAGAAAAAGAAAAGAAATGAAGGACAGAAAGAAGGAAGGAGGAAGGAAGAAAGGAAGGAAGGAAGGATGGGTGTAAAATGTACTTTACAAAGCCAACAAGGTGACTCACAACTTTAATTTTAGTACTCTAGGAGACTGAGGCAGGATTATTGCCATAGTTTGAGGTCAGCCTTGGCTACATGGTGAGACAGTCTCTAAAATTCCAGACACAGGGCTGGGAAGATGGCTAAGTGGGCCAGGTGTTTGCAGAGCAAACACAAGGATCCGACTTTGATCCCCGGAACCCATGCAGAAAGCCATACATAAAGACACAGGCTTGTCATCCCCATTGCTGCGTAGGCAGCGACAAGCAGACCCTTGGAGATCTCTGGCCAGTAAGTCCATGTTCTTGTGGGTTAGCACCATGTCCCATTGGAAGACCCTGTTTCAAGATACTGTAAAGAGGCCGGGCGTTGGTGGTGCACGCCTTTAATCCCAGCACTTGGGTGGCAGAGGCAGACGGATCTCTGTGAGTTCGAGGCCAGCCTGGTCTACAAGAGCTAGTGCCAGGACAGCCTCCAAAGCCACAGAGAAACCCTGTCTCAAAAAACCAAAAAAAAAAAAAGATACTGTAAAGATAGTGCCTGGAGGATAAAGTCAGGAGCACACACACAAACATGCTCCTTTTTTCTGGTTTTTCGAGACAGAGTTTCTCTGTATTGTTTTGGACTCTGTCCTGGAACTCGCTCGGTAAACCAGGCTGGTCTCGAATTCACAGAGATCCGCCTGCCTCTGCCTCCCGAGTGCTGGGATTAAAGGCATGTGCCACTAACGCCCGACTAAACATGCTCCTTAACACATTTAAATTCCAAGAACACATACAAAAATAATATACATGTGACCAAAAAAAAATCACGTTTGCTGTGTTTTCTTAATTTTTATTAAGACTCATCCTTTCCTTCAGCTCAGGTTTCAGCTCAGGTTCCCAAAGGTGCCCAGGCCCCTGTGAAGGCCCCATAGAAAATGTTTCTGCCACTGTGAAGATAGATGGACTGGTGTGATACACCTACACACTATCTGCAGGTGACCGTGCCCTGTGCTGTTTTTACGAATAAACTTGAGGCAAAACCTGTTTAAAAAAAAAAAAAAAAGGAGCCGGGCGTTGGTGGCGCACGCCTTTAATCCCAGCACTCGGGAGGCAGAGGCAGGCGGATCTCTATGAGTTTGAGACCAGCCTGGTCTACAGAATGAGTTCCAGGACAGCCTCCAAAGCCACAGAGAAACCCTGTCTCAAAAAACCAAAAAAAAAAAAAAAAAAAAAAAAGACTCATCCTTTCTAATATTGAAAATGGCAGAGGCAATTTCCTGCTCATGTGCCACCTGGTGGACACAGTTAGGATTGCAACAAACAACCTCGACTCCGGATTAAATTTGCAAGGGGTTGTTGTCCTAGCCTCTCCATTTTAGTGATGAAAATTCACTCCTTGAATTGCAGAGCAAGACCATAACCAGTTTATCTCAACTTTTTTTAAAAGATTTATCTTTACAAGATGGGAGGTGGTGGCTCATGTCTTTAATCCCAGCACTTGGGAGGCAGAGGCACCAGAGATCTCTGTGAGTTGGAGGCCAGCCTGGATTACAGCTAGGGCATATATATATTTTATTATTATTTTGGGGACTGGAGAGAGGGCTGAGCAGTGAACACTGGCTGCCTTTGCAGAGGACCAAGGTTCAATTCCCAGTCTCTACATGGTGGCTCACAACTGTCTGCAAATCCAGCTGCTGGAGATCTGATGCAGTCTTCTGACCTGTGCAGGCACACACCACTTTTCTATTTATTCTGTGAGGGATGAAAGGCTTGGAGGAGGAGGGTACCAGGACATCAAGACCAAAGAGAAAGCTAGAAGAGTCCATTGGGCAAGACATGCAGAACCACCACATCCAAGTCCTGCATCCACCTCACTTCCTGTACCCCCAGCTTGTGATGCACCGTGCGGTGCACCCATCGACCTCCTTGTCCATTAGAAAGAAGGCCTCTCCTATAGACGTGTGGATCCAGATTCACTGGACTAGGCTCGCTATAGGTTAATATAATTTTATTCCGGGGGAAGGCACTTACAAAGGAAACATGATCGCTGTGAGTTCCTAATCCAAGGCTCCACACAGGCTTCTCTCTGCGACCGGACCACCCGTTCCTGGAACCAGACCTAAAAACCACTCTCGGTGGGTGTGGTCAGCGCTAGCTACAGGTGCAGGCAGGGTGGATATCTCACTACACTCTCCCAAGATCAACTCTGTTCCTAAATGAGGCAACTCCTCTCTCTGGTCTAGGTGGGGAAGTTAAAGGCACCATTTAATGATCACCTGCTGTATACCAAGCACCTTCACATAATGCCCATAGTGTCATCTACGGGTGTCCTGGGTTCTCCACAGTGGAACAAACCTGGGTATTTACCCTCCTAGGCAGTCCCTTCATGCCCTGAGATGACTCAGGCCTTTCTCTGAAAGGGAGTGGAAGCTGCCTTTTGCAGAGCAGGTAAGAACAGGCCCACAGTTGGCTCCTGGCTTCCCTCTCAGGGTCTGCAGACAAAGAATGGGAATGGGAAACGTAGAAAGTATGACTCATTCTGCTCAGATCCTAGACATACAAGGAAATGCATCCAGTAATGGCTGACCTAACATTCTGGAAGCTTCTCTTAGGAGGTCCATGGCACCCCTAGCCACCTTGCCAAATCCGGGGAGCTAGCTGCCAGGTTGGTCCATGTTCCCCAGCCGCACTGACAAGAGGGAATAGTAAGCTGAGTGGCCACAGGCCTGGTCAAAACCCAGCTCAGCTCCATCTTCCCTGTCCCTACAGCCAAAACTGGTTTGTTTTTCCCACTCTACAAATTATTTTTTGTTTGGCTTTTGAAACAGGGTTTCTCTGTGTGCCCTGGCTGTTCTGGAACTTGCTCTGTAGACCAGGCTGGCCTGAAACTCAGAGATCTGCCTGCGTCTGCCTCCTGGATGCTGAGATTGAAGGTGTGAGTCACTGCCACCTCCAGGGTTCATCCATCACTTTCCCTTGCACCAAACTGAACCCTTTGTCTCCTCCTGTCCAAGCTCAACCTTTCCCAGATCATTCCTGGTCACATACTCCCAGAACCATCTTAGGGTCAGTTTATCTAAGGCCCCTGCCTTCCTAGTTGTCAATTAACAGTTTTGTTTTGTTTTGAGCCAGGGTCTCATGTTGCCCAAACTGGCTTTAAATGGGTTAAGTCTGGCCTTAATTTTTTTTTTTTTTTTTTGGTTTTTCGAGACAGGGTTTCTCTGTATTGTTTTGGAGGCTGTCCTGGAACTAGCTCTGTAGACCAGGCAGGCCTCGAACTCACAGAGATCCGCCTGCCTCTGCCTCCAGAGTGCTGGGATTAAAGGCGTGCGCCACCAACGCCCGGCTCTGGCCTTAATTTTTAAACATTGTAATGTGTAAGTGTATTTATATGAGTTTGTGTACAGCATGTGTGTGCAAAAGTACCTATAAGAGGGCATCAGATTAGCCGGGCGGTGGTGGCACATGCCTGTAATCCCAGCACTCGGGAGGCAGAGGCAGGCAGATCTCTGTGAGTTCAAGGCCGGGCTGGACCGACAGCCTCCAAAACAATACAGAGAAAAAACTCTGTCTTGTAAAAACAAAAAAACAAAAAACAAACAAACAAAAAAAGAGGGCATCAGATCACCCCAAACTGGAGTTACAGGTGGTTGTGAGCTACCATTTGGGAACTAGGAATCAAACCAGTGAAACCAGTGTTTTTGTTGTTGTTGTTTTGCTTTGGTTTTTTTCTTTCTTTCTTTTGTTTTTTTTTGTTTTGTTTTGTTTTGTTTTGTTTTTTGAGACAGGGTTTCTCCGTGTAACTTTGGAGGTTGTCCTGGTACTCGCTCTGTAGACCAGGCTGGCCTCAAACTCACAGAGATTCGACTGCCTCTGCCTCCTGAGTGCTGGGATTAAAGGCGTGCACCACCAACACTCCGCTTTGTTGTTTTTTTGAAACAGGGTTTCTCTGTGTAACATCCCTGGATGTCCCAGAACTCACTCTATAGACCAGGCTGGCCTGAAACTCATAGAGATCCACCTTCCTCTGCCTTCTAAGTGCTAGAATTAAAAATGTAGACCACCATACATGGTAGGGATAGGGGGCTTTGTTGTTTGTTTTACACAAGGTCTCATGTAGACCAGGCTTCTCTTGAACTGTCCATCTTCTTTTTTTTATTTTTCTTTTTTTCAGGAGTGTGTGAAAGTCAGCATTTGAGAGAGATAGGAGAGGACCCTTCAAACATGGGAAATGGCTTCCAGCAACTCCTCGCCCTGCATTATGGATGACCAGAGGATAGGCAGTCTGTGGTCTTTTCTAAATGCAGGCCTGAACTGTCCATCTTCAAAGGAAGGAATTACAGCCAAGCGTTGTGGTGCTTGGCTCAGGGAACCTTATCTTTGGGTTATTTACTTGTTTAAATACCATTCAACAATCTAGAGCAGGGTTCAGCAAAATTTATTTTAATTAGTGTGTGTGCGTTCTGGAAGATGCACATCTGCTTCTGTGTGTGGAGGTTAGAAGTCAATTGCTGCTCTTATTTGTTATATGTCGTTGTTGGGTTTTTTGTTTGTTTGTTTGTTTGTTTGTTTGTTTTTGGTCTTTGAGACAGGGTTTTTCTGTGGCTTTGGAGCGGGACCTGGAACTAGCTCTTGTAGACCAGATTGGTTTTGAACTCACAGAGATTCACTTGCCTCTGCCTCCCAAGTGCTGGGATCAAAGGAATGCGCCCCCTTGTTATTTTTATTTTATGTGTATGAATGCTTGCTTGTATGCATGTCTGTTACCACATGTGTGCTTGGTGATCACAGAGGCCGGAAGACAACAGACCCGATGCTTCTTCTGGGGATCTTGTGCATACACTCATGCACACACACACACATAAATAATAAAAGTTTGAGGGGCCTGAAGAGATGGCTCTGTGATTAAGACCACTGGGTGTTTTTAGAGAGGACCTGGGTTCAATTCCCAGCACCCACATGGCAACTCACAGCTATCTGTAACTCCAGTTCCAGGGGATCTGACACCTTCACGCCAATATACATGAAATAAAGTTAAATAAAGAAAAGTTTGAAGCCAGGCATTGGTAGTGCATTCCTTTAATCCCAGCACTTGGGAGGCAGAGGCAGGCAGATCTCTGTGAGTTTGAGACCAGCCTGGTCAACAGAACGAGTTCCAGGACTGTGAGGAGCCGCCCTCGCTATCGCTATTGCCGTTAGAAGATGGCGCTGACATCTGCTGTCAGTTGGAGTTAACCGTTAGAAGATGGCGCTGACATCTGCTGTCAGTTGGAGTTAACCGTTTAAGCTGTGCCTCTCCCGTGGCGTCATCTGGGGTGATGTGCAAACCACCAATCCCGGCTCTACACGTCTCACTCGGAGCTCCTAGGCTTATATAAGGGGCTGGGTTTCTTAGCTTGGGGTCTCCCTCTAAGAAGCTGATCATCTATCTCTCAAGATGCATTAAAGCTTTACTGCAGAAGGATCCGAGTGTCCTGCGTCGTTCTTGCTGGCGAGACGGTAGCGCGGGACACAGGACAGCCTCCAAAACAATACAGAGAAACCCTGTCTCGAAAAACCAAAAAAAAAAAAAAAAGTTTGAAAATGAAAAATAATTAAATAAATAATGGTGATAAACTCCCAATGCCAGAATGATGGTTCAGCAGGTGAGAGCACTTGCTGCTCTTGCAGAGGATTTAAGTTCTTTCACAGCATCCATGTTGAACAGCTCCAGAGAAAATGCAAGGCCTCTGGCCTCCTTGGGCTCCTGTACTTGTCTGTATAAATTAACAGAGAAACATATATATATATATATATATATATATACACACACATATATTTTTTTGGTTTTTTGAGATAGGGTTTCTCTGTGGCTTTGGAGGCTCAGATATATATAATTTAAAATAAATTTTTTTTCTATATAGTTCTGGCTGTCCAGGAACTTGCTGTATAGACTAGGCCAACCCTCAACTCACAAACATCTGCCTGCCTCTACTTCCAGAGTGCTGGGATTAAAGATGGACACTGTTATACCCAGAAAGAATGGCTTTTGTTTTTCATCATTTTACAAATAAAAACACCATTCTTAGTCCAGGGTTTGCACAAAGAAGTGTTAAGCTTTTAGGATTTGATGAATGGTTTGCCTCCTGTGGATCTAGGGCAGAATGTCTGGGTCACAAGCTTCCCTGTGAATTAGGCTGGCAAGGTGAGGTAGGCCTGTAGTTCCAGCTTCCTGCAGAGTAAATTCAAGACAAGCCTCAACAACTCAATGTGGGTCCCAGTCTAAAAATCAAAGTAAAAAAGAGGACTGGGGGATTGGAGAGATAGCTCAGGAGTTAAGAGCACTGGCTGCTCTTCCAGAGGACCCAGGTTCAATTCCCAACACTCACATGGAGGCTCACAACAGTCTGTAGCTAGCTCCAGTTCCAGGGGATCCTGACACCCATAGGAAAACACCAATGCACATAAAATGTAAAGAGAGAGAGAGAGAGAGAGAGAGAGAGAGAGAGAGAGAGAGAGAGTGCTGGGAATGTAGCTCAGTGGTAGGTCATGCGTCCAGTATACTTGAGGACCCTGGTCCAAGTTCCCAAACCACAAAATCAAAACAAACCACAGAACCCATGCCAGTGTCACAGAACCCATGCCAGTGTGATGGCATACAACTTAGTTCAAGAATTGAGGAAGTCGCCGGGCAGTGGTGGCTCACGCCTTTAATCCCAGCACTCGGGAGGCAGAGGCAGGCGGATCTCTGTGAGTTCGAGACCAGCCTGGACTACCAAGTGAGTTCCAGGACAGCCTCCAAAGCCACAGAGAAACCCTGTCTCGAAAAACCAAAAAAAAAAAAAAAAAAAAAAAGAATTGAGGAAGTCAATACAGGAGGATCTGGACTTTGAGGCCAGCCTAGGCTACAGGAGACCCTGTCTCAAAAATCCAAAACTAGAGGCTGGAGAGAGAGCCCAGCAGGTAAGAGCACTGTTTGATTTCCCGAAGGAAGGGAGTTTGGGTCCCAGCATCTACATTGTGGCTCAAAACCTGCTGTAACTCAAGTTCCAAGAGATCCGAAACACTCTTGTAAACTTTGCTGGTGCCAGGCACATACATGTGGTGCACAGGCATACCAAAAAGACAGTTGGGAGGTGGTGGTATATGTCTTTAATCCTAGCATTAGGGAGGCAGAGGCAGGCCGGTCTCTGAAAAAACAAACCAAGCAAAAACAAAGACAAACAAACAAACAAACAAACAAAAGGAAAAGAAAGGAAAAAAGACAATAAGGCAGGGTGCTGGTTCGATGAGTAGGAGCTTGATGACCAAACATGAGGACCTGACTTCTAATCTCCGATCTCTAAAACACATGGAAAGGCCAGACTTGGCTTACTGCATCTCAACCCTATTGCTTGGGGTGGGGTTTCGAACTGATAGAGATTGCAGGGGCTTGCTGGCTACCAGTCCAGCTGAAAAATAGCCAGCTCCAAGTTCCTTTGAGAGACTGTGTTTCAAGGGAATAAGATGGAGAAGGATGGAGTGAGACCGCTGATATCCTCCTCTGGACTCCTCAGGTACACATGCCCACACACATGTGCACACACAGCTATTCAAAAAATCCTGCCTACTGCCCCAGACCTACTGAGTTAAAAACGCTGGTCCTGTGTGTGGCTGCTGATTCGGGTGTGTGTTTCATTTGGATGTAAACCTTTTTAAATTAAAGCATTTATTTATTTGTGCATGAGTATTTTATCTGCCTGTAAGGCTGTCTGTGCACCACCTGCATGCAGAGCCCAGAGGCCAGAAGAGGGCATCTGATTCCCTGAAACTAAAGTTACTACAGTTACTGGGAACTGAACCTGGGTCCTTTTAAAAAATTTTTTAAATTTTGAGACAAGGGTTTCTCTGTGTAGCCCTGGCTCTCCTGGAACTCTCTCTGTAGACCAGGCTGACCTCACACATAAGAAAGCATTCCGATTCTGCCCCCGAAGTGCTGGGATTAAAGGCATATGGCTCCAGACCCTGTGTTTTCTATTGTTTCTAAATGACAGGCAGCAAGTTGGCTTAGAAGGTAAAGACACTCGTCACCAAGCCTGATGATATAACCAATATCCACATGATGAGGAATAGAACTGATTTTTCTAAGTTGTCCTCTCACCCCCACCCCCACATTTGCAAGTGGTACTGGAGAGCCTACCTACATATAGACAGACACACGAAATGAAATAGCTAATGACAGACACAGTTATACAAGTGGTACTGGAGAGTCTACCCACATATAGACAGACACACGAAACGAAATAGCTAATGACAGACACAGTTATACAAGTGTATATGATACTATGTATTATTATGAAACAAGTATGCATTGTATAATGTTTTTTGGTTTTTCGAGACAGGGTTTCTCTGTGGCTTTGGAGGCTGTCCTGTAACTAGCTCTTGTAGACCAGGCTGTCCTTGAACTCACAGTGATTAACACCCCCCCCCCTGCATTCCCAGTGAAGAATTAAAGGTGTGCACCTTTAGCCCGGTGTTGGTGGCGCATGCCTTTAATCCCAGCACTCTGGAGGCAGAGGCATGTGAATCTTTGAGTTCCAGGCCAGCCTGGTTTACAGAAGCGAGTACCAGGACAGGCTCCCCAAAGCTATACAGAGAAACCCTGTCTCGAAAACAAACAAAAAAATCCCACCCCACCCAAGAAAAGAAAAGTTGTGCACCTTTAGTTCCTTTGTAGCCCTTGACGCCTAAAATGACTTGGTAAATAATTACCCTTCACAATCTTGTGTGGTGTGACTAAATCTGTAAAGGTAATGATAAAGTCTAGCGCGTTATGAATATTAAAGTATCTACTCAAACAGCTTGCACTAGTGTCTGGACGCACACGTTCAGGGAAGGGGGCTCATAAACTTCTTGTAGTTTCACTGCTGGGCAAGATCTCTTTCCCAGGGCTCACACTCCTCCAGGAGTTCCCCGCAGCTCCATAATCAAAGCCAAGACCAACTGGTTCTTCAAGATGTAAAGTTAATGGGATTAAATCGCTTTTTAGGTTTCCACGCCTCTCCCTCTCAAGGGGAAAAGCCTTCAGCAACAACAACCTTCCTTGGGGTCCAAATTATTCTACCGGCAAAAATCAAACCACAGCGCCAATTAAAGGGGAGGCGAACTTCCCTTTTTGCGCAGGCGTACTCCATTGCAGCGCCCCTCCGCTATCGCGATACGCCGGCGAGATCGACGCTGGCCCTTTAACGGCCCCTTCCCGGGGGCCTGCCTAGCGCGTGCGCACTGCGGTTCTGCGCTTGTCATCATGGCGACGCGGGGCCATGTGCAGGATCCTAACGACCGGCGCCT